GAAGACTTTGCTTTAAGACAGGTAGATAACAAGAAAATATAGATGAAAGGTTTTTTTTATGAGAGTAGATTTACAATTTCGTGTTTTTGCAGGGAAGCCTAARCCAACAGGACGACCAACTAGGCCTTCAATTAGGCCACCTGTTGGAAGACGTAAGTTCACTTTAAGATTTGTATTCACATGATACATGTGAAATGCTTATAATAGAAATTAACGGTGGATCGAGCATATAGGATCTTATTGCTCAAGTGATTATAATTGTCAGACGATACTTTTTTTGGAAACACAATAAATGAATGGAAATCAGATGTTCCGAAAAGATTTGCAACCCGGATTTTCACGGGTATCCATTGACTTGAATMCGACGTTTGAGCGACTGGTATTCTGATTCAAGTCTACAGGATCCAGAATCCACTTAGTTCTAAATAACGTTATAAGGATCGATGTTKTTTTACGGTACAAAACAATCAATATTTATATCAATATGTTTTTGTACTTTTTTAGCATGCGTGGCCAGAATAGATCTTGGTTTCCTTATTGAAAGCTCACAAGGCATCACTCGACGAAACTTTAACAAAGTCAAGAMGTTCCTTGAGGCATTGGCTAGTTCTTTCGTTATAAATCCAAAGGCGGTCAGAATTGGTGCAATTGTGTACTCTAAAGGTGTTAAAATACTATTTACCTTTAAGARTTATCTTAAAATTAAAAGTTATAAAAGCATCCGTGGGGTCACTAGAGCAATTAGAAAAATGCCATACCTTGGTGGCAAAGGAGCTAATATCAATTTTGGACTTGGCATCCTTTATCGGTATCTATTTGCCTCATTTCACAAGAAATCMGTCAAGAGAGTCGCCATTGTGGTAACAGCTAACAAGTCCAGTAAAAGTATTGGCAATTATGTATACGCCCTTAAGAGAAAAGCAAGAGTCGAGGTTATAGTCGTACAAATTGGAAAAAATTTCAAAAGAACACAGCTTCTTAAAATGGCTTCATCCAAACGTCATATATTCTACGTGCCTACTTTCAAGAATTTGGGCCGACTGGTSAAACTGGTCAAGAGGAAGGCATGCAGAGGAGCTCCTAAACCAAGCAGTAGGTTCATTATATTTTTTAAGCACGTCGACCTTTRAATAATTCTAGCCTCCTCCACAGGCAACTCTTTTTTCCTACTTTGGGCTTCCTTTGTAACGGTCATTTTGGCCGTTAGGGACTAGTGACGASATAGCCCCCATTCTCCCTCTTTTCGCCCCCATTCTCCCTYTTTTGACTSCTCAAAAAGACAGGAGGCCCGTGATTCTTAGTGATGCCTGCGGAGGAGAATAATTCAAGAGGAGCCGATGAGTTCCTGGGAGAAATATCTGTTGCTACGTCCTATAGCCAGCTGTAAGTCACAACTGGTTGACAGCAAAGAAATCAGAATTTAATTTTAAAAGGGAGAGTTTAAATTTCTAGTTCTAAATCACTTTCCAAGAAAAAAACCCGTAAAAGAACAGTATTTAGTAGAACAGACCGCCTGGTAATTCGAGGTTTTATTTCTGACAAAGTGTRCTAATGACAGCAGTAATCAATAATCATAGCATTTTTTTTTCTTTTTGCTTTTTTAACTTCTGTAAACTAACTGTATGGTCTTTTTGTTTTTCWTTTTTCACAGAACCTATTAAAACTCCACCAACCAAACGACCAGGTACGGTCATCACAGTAATATAAGGAGTAGATAACGATAGACCGTTTGGCTGTACTGCAATAGAGCTTTCCCGAATTCGCCTGGATGAACACGAAACAATGGTTTCATAATTCGGGAGAAGTCTATTGTAGTACTATTGTAATAGTAGGCAAAAGAACGAGTCGTCTRTTTGTTCACCAAAGAAACAACATCCATTATTCACGACTTTTTTCGACATCTGACATAATTTTCGGTTTCAATTAGATATTTGTCGCATGAATATTTTGTCACATTTTTTCCCTTTTTTTAATCTCGTTTCTCTTTTTGTCTTTGTAGTGAAACCAACAAGACCTCGTAAGTATTAAATACTTTGAAATCATGCGTGATAACCAATGATTATTTATTAACCAATTAGTTATTGATTATTAATGTATTACTAATTAATTTATTGGCAGTAGTGTTAAAAGTTTGCTCTCTATTTACATATTAACCTTGACATATTGACCTTGACAGACTTATCTTTCAATGCCAAACAATTCAGTTGTATGATTTTGTACAATTTCAAGTTTCGTGATATGTTTTTTTATACATGTTTTAGTATGAGGTCCCAAGTTATCTTCTATTTAAGTACAAGTAAACTCCATTTTTTTAATAATTCTTGGATAATCTATCCAAGAAAAAAATCTCGGCAACCTTATAAAGTAAATGGTGTTAAAGATTCGAAAATATTCGGTCCTTGTATAAACGCCATTGAATTGTACTCTCATTTCCAACATTTCTTACTTGATATATCAAGCGAGTTAAATTTCAAAAATAAACTAGCTTTTGACCTATTTCTATCAAAGCAACAGAAACCATTTTATTTATCTATGGTGGTTTATATTAACTTTGGAAAAAAATAGAGTTTATTTGCACTTTAAGAAATGACAAAGCATTAAAAATGATTGATTTGATCAAACACTTGCATTTTGTCGATAGGAGTACCAAGGCCTAAGGCGGTCTACCCTATGAATGGTATCACACGAGGCAAGGACATAACGCCGAACAGAAACAGACCGGGTATATTTAGAGATACCAAGTTTGATACAGGTCCTGATAGACTTCCAGCCGGTTCTATGAGGTTCAAAGGGAAACGAAACAGCTATATGTTAATTCCCAATAGACGCCGTCTTGATTTYAAAAACTCGATGACTGTATTRATGTGGGTAAAGCCATACAGCGCMGGTCCGCTTCTCCACTACAGCCCCAGAAAATGGGCTGTTCATATTTGGATGATTAGCAGCAAATTAGTATTTGTTCGATTTGTACCTCGATCAGGACGTGTCGTTAAGTTTGTAATTAGTAATAAGATAAAGCGTGGAAGATGGAACTACCTCGGGGCTAGTTACAATAGGAAGACGGGAAGAGCAACCATATGGATTAATGGAAACCCAGTAGCCCAGAGATTTGTTGGCCGTTACAGACTTGCCACTAACTATCCWATTGTCATTGGACGTAAGCTAAAAGATCGACGTTTCTTTACTGGTAGCATATCCTGTCTACAATTTTACGACACTGCACTTACAGGTCAACAAATTAAGGCAGTAAAAAAAAGATGCTTCCGCAAAAGTAAGTATCGATTTATTCTCTAATRAATATTATTTCATATGATATTTAACAATACTCCTTTTTCGAATTTTCGAATTCAAAACGAATAACGAGTAGGGGTTGTCATACGTATCTCATATATGTTATTAGCTAACAAGCGTATAGCGGTCCCTAACAAGCGAATAGAAGCACCTAACAAGCGAATTGCGGACCCTAAGTAATCATAGTTTACCGATAATATTAGCAATGCAAAATACTCTAAATGTCACAAGCAATTCGTTGTGTGGTAGCGTAATCCCTTGCGGTCAAGTCAGGCTCTTTACAGTTGTAGCTCTAGTCAAATGGTTAGGTTTAGGGGAAAGGACGGGTCAGGCTAAAAAAGGTTAGATTCAAAATTTTAAGTTAAAATTTGATGAAATTATTTAAAGAAGTTCGACGAATAAACCTATAAAAAATGTTCAAAACTGAAAAAAATATGGACCCCTGTTCGTTTGTTAGGTGCTGCTATTCGCTTGTTAATTAAGTTGTTCTATGGGCTTGTGCCCTATATGGAATACGTACTACAGCCCGCCTCCGAATAACCGCTATTTTATTTGACAACAGATTTTCTTGCGCAAAGACTTTACTAAAAACAAAAAAAGCACGAGAAAATATATTCATTACAATAGCCTTGAAAATTTGCATTCTCTCAAAAATGAGACTAACCCTATATTCCCAGAAGGCCCGAGGTATAAACCTTCCGGAAATACAGGGTTAGCCTCAACTTGGGGGAAATGCAAATTGTAAGGGCTATTGTAATTACCACATTTTCTCATGCTTAAGTAGTCTCTTTAAAACCAATTTACGACGATCACTCATTTTGAATGATTTTTTTTTGCAGGGCCAATAACCCGACCAACACGACCGCAACCAGGTAACGATTGTRCATATCATTGCAAAACAAAATACTAAAAAATACTAAGGGCAAGTTAGTGGGATCGGCCTGGCACTCAGTTCTTCTGGTGCCTGCTATATGTTACTAAAAATTCACGAATGATTAAACTTAAAGTATGTATGTTCMTCCATAGTTCCTGGAAGTCTTATTGGTTACTACCCTCTCGACTCCAGAAATCGTGGAAAAGACCTCAGTCCCAACAAAGCGCCAAAGGCTATATTCTCAAACACCAAGCCAGCCCCAGGCCCCGACGGTACTAGAAATGGTGCAACTCTCCTTCTTGGAGAACCAAAAAGCTACATTACGATTCGCAATAAGGGTAAACTTGATGCCAAGAATGCTATTACAATGTGTGCTTATATCATGCACWATGGAAAATCTGGACCTATTATCAACTATGGTAAAGGAAAACAGTGGAAGGTTCATTTTTGGATGGCTAAACCCAGGGTTCTCTTCGCAAGATTTATTAGTCGAAAAGGAAAACGAACCCCAGCAATCTACACTCGAAGTATTGTACCACTAAAGGCATGGTCATTCGTGTGTGCGAGYTATGATAGACTRTCAGGTAAAGCAAAGCTTTGGTTGAACGGCAATCGCAAGGTTAAACGAAAAATTGGCCGATTCAGGCTGGCAACTCAAGATCCAATTAGAATTGGTGCGAAGGTTGGGGACAAAAGAACATTCCGTGGAAAGATCGCTTGCGTGCAGATTTACAACCAAGACTTGACCAAGGGACAAATAAGAGCTGCTATGAAAAGATGCACTAAAAGAGGTGAGTWGAAATGGCTTACCAATTGCACTCCAAGTATTAGAGAGGATTAAAAAAAACTCGTCTTCAAACGAAGACAAATGAATCATAAAGTAGTTAAGAGTAAAACTTACTTAAAAGTCCTAAAATTCTCTGTAGGTTCCATTGCAACCCATAGAAACATATATAAATCAACAGTTCTCTAGAGAAACGTTTCGTTGTTGTATTTTYCCCTTCAACCAAGTACATATCKATTTCTTGGAATATTGTTTGTTAGGTTGAAAAACATTTATGCTAATGAGCRGMAGGCATTCTTTGGAGTTCTTCTSCACATAATCTGCACATGAGCTTYACATAGAGGTTTCTATGTGTATACAYCAGCGCCATGTTATGTATGACAGGATCGTTTTCGATCCTTTTCKCTATGTTCASCCGTGATTCCTTCCGTATGACAGAAAYACAAAAGCYACTCTACCAATAATATGACCTCTGTTAAAAGGGATGAATGTCATCTCTTTTCTTTGTAATTTTTGTCACTTTACTTCTACGTCCCGTTTATACAGTACTCGCTTTATATGTTCTAGTTCCTATACCAACGACAACTAAACCARTAAAACCAAGCAAGTCTCCAACAACGCCACCACGAGGTATGATTGTGCATAGCTAAAGTAATTCACGATATTGATTTCATCGTGTCGACCACTATACTGGAAGAAATCGCGCACTTTTTTGAAAAGTTTTTTGATGTAAATATTATGTAAGTGTCCAAAATGATGTAAATTTGATGCGAATGAATTTCGTGAGGGAATTTCAAATATGGMGGTATCTATAATGAAGCAACAATTTAAACTACTGTGAAAGTGTAAATTGCCSGTCATCTTTCGAATCTATTGCCCTAACACAACTTAAATATGTGACAATATTGTAATGCATAATGTTTTSGATTTTCAGGAAAGCCGACGCCAGTCATCGTATATCCATTTGATAGTACGTCTTATAACAGAGAAATTCTTAACAGAAATTCTCCAGCCATCTTTGGTACACTTCGAACAAACATCGGACCCGATAGGCGCAAATACGGCTCCTTTGAACTGGAAGGAAGGCCAGACAGTTCTATCAAGATCATAAAYCAAGGTCGTCTTGATCTMAAAAAATCCATGACAATCAGTATCTGGATATATCCAAAGGGACCTGGTCCTATTTTCCACTATGACCCCAACGGATACGGTGTTAATATCTGGTTTTTCTCCCCTAACATCTTGAGGGTGCAGTATGTTACTCGTTCCCCTCGACGAACCCTGCCTTATCTCGCTGGTAAGATTAAAAGATGGAGATGGACCTATATCAGTACAACGTACGACAGAAATACTGGTGAGGCTGCACTCTACATAAACCGTGAGCGCGTGGCAAGAAAGAAGATTCCCAAAACAGACATGGCCACTAATTATGATGTTTTGATCGGCTCCATACCGGGTAGTAAGAATCGGTACCGAGGAGGCATTTCGTGTTTACAGTTGTATGACAAGGCTCTTACTCACGCAGAAGTTTACGCCATCAGGGGGCGATGCTTTGGTACAAGTACGTAACTCTGAAGTCTGTTGGTAGTTGTTCGTTTGTYTATTTGTTGCTCAGTTTATTGCTATGCTTTCCTTATTGATATTAACAGCAATATTACATGATTGTTTGTGTGCAATTTTTGATCGTTGGCATGGTTCGCATCGGTAAGTGCGGCCACTTATCTGTTCTTGCTTTGGTTCTCCCAATCTTAAAATGACTATCCCCAGTGTGTTGCTATGAACTTATGAAACACTTTATATTACCAGAACCACACCCACCCATCCAAGAACCGTCCAAGCCTTGCCCAGTTGARCCAAAGCGCACTGTAGGTGTTTTCCCATTAAACAAAAGATACAAGGGACGAGACGTCTCAAGGAATAACATCCGAGCAAGAATCAGCAACGTCGCCTTTGCCCCAGGCCCATACGGTCTACCAGGTGCTTCTACGTTCTTTAAAGGTAGAAAGGACAGCTTTATTACCCTACCCAACCGTGGTCCACTCGACACCAAAAACTCCATCACCATACTTGCTTGGATTAATACTATGAGAAAGTCTGGTCCAATAGTGAATTTCCACCCTAACGGTTGGGGGCTGCATTGGTGGGCTCTCAACGGCAATCGCCTCTTTGTGAGGTTTGTTATTCGTAAGGGACGTCGATCGACGCCACCTTTGGTCTACAACAAGCTAAAACCTGGCAAGTGGTTCTACGTAGGAATATCATTCGATAAGAAAACTGGCAAGGCAGCATTGTATGTCAACTCACGGAAAGTAGTAACCAAGTACATTGGTAGGATTCAATTGGCCACTAACTACTCTGTCAGAGTTGGAGCTCGTATCGGCGATAGGCGATATTTCAAGGGGAGAATTGCCTGCTTACAGTTTTTTAATTACAAGCTAAGCATTGCAATGATAAAGAAGAGAAAGMATTTCTGCTTTAAACGTGGTAAGAAAGCTTTAGTAGCATCTTATTTGTCTTATGAAAAACATTTAATGGTGTTTGAGTACAGTCACCACGAAGAAAGTTTTAAATTGAGGTGGGAAGGTTCATTGTTCCTTGTCGCGCCTTTCGGTTCATGCCCAATAATTGTTTGTGGTCACTGAACCTGGATACGGAAAGTCGTTATTTTACATCCATCCACGTCATTATMTAATAATACATACATGAAGTACAAACAACGTCGCAACTCGAACAATAAAATCTCAGTCTATGTCCACTTTTCATTCGGTGATAATGTTTTTGGTTGATATGTTTGGCAGGTGTGAGACCTCCGATCAGGCCTCCTCCAAGACCCCTACCTCCACGTAAGTACAACGTAGCCTAACAGCGTTTTCCCTAAGGAGTTACACTATCTATTTTGCMGTCTGCAAATAGTTAAGGCAATTTGTAAAGCTCATGAATAATTAATGAGGAAAACACAATAGAAATCACAACCGTGAAGAGTGTTGTAAGTAATGTTTACAACATGAGCGGCCGTAATTTACAATCTCGAGCCGAAGCATTATAAACAGTATATTCTTAAAGTGAAACACCATGATTACTGATTGTAGGACTACCCAAGGCAGCTGCTCTGTTCCCTTTGAACCGTGGAACTCGAGGAAAAGACACTACAAACCAAAACTCAAAAGCGCGAACACGACATGTAAGATATGCACCAGGTCCATATGGACGACGGGGCGGATCAACTCAATTCCTTGGTCGAAGCAGCAGCTATATTCAATTCCCCAACCGTGGTGGATTTGATACAAGRAAATCAATTACAATTCTTTGTTGGATTTTCCCACAAGGRCGAGCAGGTCCCATCTTCAACTTCCATCCCAATGGAGAAGGTGTTCAACTTTGGGTAAAAGGAAGATATGGACGAATCCTTTCGGCACGATTCCCTAGAAGACGCAGAAGAAAGCGAACACCTTTTATTCAAAGACGTATTCTACAAGCGAACAAATGGCAGTTTGTAGCAGCACGCTACAATCAAGGAACTGGATATGGTTCTATTTGGCTGAATGGTAAGCGTGTTGCTTTCAGGAAAATTGGTCGCATTAGAATCGCTACAAACTACCCAGCCCGCATGGGAGCACGGTTAGGAAACAAGCTGTACTTCAAAGGCCGCGTTGCTTGTCTACAAATTTACCGGCAACCACTGACACAACGGCAAATCATCTCTGCAAAACGGGTCTGCAGTGGATGTAAGTAATATATATTTTCTTTTGTTAACGTTGTCTACTATGATTTACTGTTGTTTTTTTTTTTCATTTACTTATTTTTTTTCATTTGTTGTCATTTTTCGGTGTTTTGGTTTATTGTATTGTTATGTTATGTGTTTTTTTTATTTGTTTGTTTTGTTTGTTTTTGTTCCTTTTCCCGTCCATTGCGGTACATTTTCTTTTGTTTTTCTTTTAATCTGATTGATTCACTATTTATTTGATTTTAATCGGCATTCGTTTTATCTATAGTTGCASCACCTACTCCAAAACCAACCCGACCTGTCAAGCCCCCTAAAAAACTGCCAATCAAACCAATCTCTCCAATCAAAGGTGAGTCCATTCTTTTCTTATTCAGCTTGATAGTGATAAGCAATCATTTACTAATAACAGTGAATATTGCATTTYAGAATCATTGGAACCATTAGCTGTCTTCCCYTTGAGCAGAARAACRCGCGGAAGAGATCTTAGCGGTAGCCGCAATCCTCCTGCAAAACTCCGCGGAGTCCGACCTGCCAGAGGTCCAGACGGTAAAAGRGGAACCTCATATCAGTTCTTTGGCCGACCAAATAGCTACATCGAAATTCCCAATAATGGMGGCATTGATCCTGTGAAATCCATGACTGCTTTAATATGGGTATACCATACAGGYAGAGCTGGACCTATWCTYAACTACAATCCMGATAAATGGGGAGTCCATATTTGGATGGTTGCCCCACGGACACTCTTTGTTCGATTCCCAAGAAGAAGAGGTCGCATTTTGACACGAGTTTTGCTATCTCGCCGAATACGWCCATTTAAATGGAACCAAATTGCTGCCGTATACAACGGACGCACAGGGTACGGTCAAGTTTACGTCAACGGACGACGCGTGGCACGAAAAAAAATTGGACGAATCCAACTGGCTACTAACTATCCAATCAGATTGGGAGCACGAAGAGGTGATCCACGGTCTTTCAAGGGTAGACTTGCTTGTCTGCAGCTTTTCAATACACCTCTTAGTCGACGACGGATCCTCGCCAAGAGAAACGTTTGTTTCGGTAAAGGTAAGAATTGTCAGTATATTTGTTTTTGCTTTTAAATATAAGAAACTTATTAATAGATGTTTGGACAAATCGATGTACTGAAAAACTCTATAATTGGAACTTATATATGATATAAATTTAGTTTTACTTCAAAGCAATGAATTGATCTGGTTTTGATTGTGTATTATTTTAGGACCATTGCCAGCCAAAGTGTACCCAGGACCAGCTGGAAAAGGTAACTAAGAATGTTGATTTAATATATTGATAGTTGAAGATCGGGTGATTCATTGTGCAAAAACATAATKTTGCTCGATTGAGGTTGAAATATGGCGACACTTGGACAGCATGCTACTATTCTATGGTGTATAGGATCTGSCATACGACTCCATGTATGGATGTCCATATACAGAGTCACTAATGTCCATACAGTACGTCTCTTGTGTAGTAAAGAACTTAGAAGATTTTCAAACGGAGATTATGAAGATTCGAACCCGGCGCTACTTACTTCCTAACTGTCTATATATTTCCCTAAACCTCACAATTAAGCCATGAGCAATCAGTTCGCCTGCTTGAAGGATGACGCAAGTTCTGCGTATGAATACTGAAGAAGTGGCAATCTACTTGGCTATATCTCCTGGAAATATACAAAGTTGCCTATTTTGACATCGTCCCGGGAATGTGATGTAAAAGGGCTCCTGATATGATTTCCATTGTGAACTTGTCACCGGCTGAACAATTTAAAATTACTTATTAAAATTACTGATGTTAATATATCCGTAAATCCTCAGTTTCGGTTTTGGCACGTAGGGATCCCGGGGTAGGGATGAACCGGTAAAATTTGTACGTACATCAGTCACCTTGTATACACCTAATTGAAAAAACGTAGTCGTGTTCGATAAGGTCACATCATAGAAGCTAAGACCGAAAGGGATTTTGAGTACCACTAAATTGGGATTGCATTTGCATATACGGTGTACACTAAGCAAGTAGAGCTAGTGAGATGAACAGCATGATAGTCTTTTATGCTGGAGAGCTGTTTGTTATGAAATTAGCCAAATTGTTTGTCTTCCCAAGTACCCTTTCGGTCATAGCTTCTATGATTTGACCTTTTTGGACCCGACAATGTTTCTTCAATTAGGTGTATGTACATCTATGTATGGAAGAAGGTATAAGAGATACCCTTATTTGTAACCGGTTTCAATATTCCAACGTCCTTGGACCTCAAAGGGGAGATACTTGATTATTTTATTTTTGTTTTTTACAGTTTGTCAAGCAAAGATCAACCTGGCCATCCTCATGGACAGTTCTGGTAGTATCGAATATTATGGCAAAGGAAATTATCAACGCATGCGTAAATTTGTCCAACGTCTAATAGCATCATTTGCCGTSGGACGAGGCCGTGCACACATTTCAGTTACGCTCTTTTCGAATCGACCTATGTTGTTATTTGGCTTCCGTCGTTATTACAGTAAATACCAGATGATGAGGGCTGTTGAAAGAGCCCCATACATCAAAGGAGGCACCTATACAAGTCGAGCTCTTAGATATGTAAGAGAACGAGTCTTCCGATTCTCCGGAGGTCGAAAGCGWAGCAATGTTCTGGTTGTKATTACTGATGGGCGTTCTAGCGATCGCATTTCTAAACAAGCTTTGAAATTAAAGAAAGSCGGAGTCAACATTTTAACTGTTGGAATTGGGCGTAACTTTTCTAAGAAAGATTTATACATAATGGCATCGAACAGGAGAAACGTGTTCACTACAGGTTTCAGGACAGTGCAAAATATTGCTGCTACTGTGAAACAACGGGCCTGCATAAGTAAGTAAATCCTTTCGACTTGTTTATTATTATTTCAGTTCCTTGTGATTGACTGGCTGTCCAACAATATTTGACATTGTAATAGTTAACCACTCTTTTTAGTCTTAAGCAATCTAGTGTCGACTCTCGAGTGACTACCAGAGTTTTCTGCTACTAGTGGCCTCAGTGGCAACACATTGTTGCGTGTTGAAAATAAAGAAAAATAAAATTATTTTTAAAAGTAGGATACATGTCAATAAAAATTGTTGCATATACCAATAAACCATCTTTTTTTTCTTTATTCAGAATCTAAGCCATATCGTCCACCAGGTAAGTTAAATTTACAATTACCGCTTCACGGACTGCGCAATATTTGCCCCCCACCCCGTGAGTTTATTCATTTATTATTCCTGAATAAAGAGTTGTTGAATATCGTGACACGCTTTTCTTTAGAAGTTTTCGAATCTGACAGTGATTTTTCAGTTTCCAATTAAAGTTCTAGTTAATTTTAGACGTTGCCCTCCCTCTTTAAGCACATAAAATTAGATTTTGACTCCCCCTGGATTCTCAACCCTCCTCATGATAATATTGTGCAGTCCCTTAATTCGCGTTTTTAGGCTCAAAAAGGCTGTTACATCATCAGTGCTAAGACCGAAAGGGATTTTGGGGACATATTTCTTACGTAAGCAGTTCTGGTAATGCTGGGAACACTGCCGCTGTCATATACACGATATTTGCCTAATCATTTGTCTTCCCATGATCCTTTTCAATCTTAGCTTCAATGATGTGATCTTGACAACGTTTTGCCAATTTGGTGTATAAATGTCACAATGTCACATAGACATTTTTTTACGTTTAGTTCCAAAACCAAAGCCGTATTTCCCAAGGCCCAAACCTCATGGACGTGGTAAGGTTTCCAAGTCGTTACGTCATTGTTTACAGTTGTTAAGTTAAAGTGTCTATGAACCCTGGCCAAATATTGTTTTGATAGTTAAAGTTTAAGTTCCCAATAACAATTTTTCGGAGTATGAAAGTCATCGAATAAAAATTCTTGACTTTACAGCGGTTTGAAATTGCATTATAAGCTTCTTTGGCATCCTGTGCTGAAAATGCTGAGAAAAAGCTGAGCTTTCTTTGGGAGGCTTGGTGACGATTATGATGACGTAGTATCCGGGACGCATTTTCATGGTAGTTCATGTAAACAGTTGAATCTCGGCAAGASATAGTTGTACTCTTCTCTATTGCACTCAAAGTTCTCTGATGTTGGTTTGTTCACACTGGTTGACAATTTGGTTGTTCTGGACACTACGTCATCAAAACACTAGTGCCAATCCCCCGCAATGCTCGGTTTCGTAGCATGATCAACTTTGAGAGCTCATAAAAAAATGGATTTCGTCAAATCTTCACTTTTTTCAATAGATACATCATTTAATATATCTATTTTTAACATATGTTGGATTTATCAAGGGTGCATAGGCACTTTAAAGGTGTTATATAAATACGAATATTCAATACTAATTATCGTACTTTCATCAGTTACATCCGAAAATCTTGCCTTCATGATTCATTTTTTTTTTTTTGACTTGTCATTTTAAGTGCTAGTTTTACATAAATGACATCAAACACGAAATTAGTTTCTGGCGTTTATACTGTTTATAGTTTTATTAATGTACAATAGTACGGTTAAAATATTAAAACAAAATTCTTGAGCGTTGCCAGTGTCCGCCATTCGGTTTTGTAACGTCATACGCACACTCTTCAATATTGACTTAAATGACAGTCCAAACTAACATAATATCGTTTTTTAATTGTACAATTGAAMCACTACTAGAAAATGGCGTGTTTCGCGACGTCATAGTTTTCCACGCACTCRATCAATGGCGGACTCAAAAATCCAGGTCGTGTATCAACACAAACGGTGGCTATGTGGTGTGTGTTTTGTCATTAAGTACAATTTTCTACATTTGTTTGACTTGCGAAAGACTAGCACTTAAGGTATCATTCCCTGTGATCTGCGAATGGACTCGAAATTGCTATTCTTACATGACATGGATAATCTATATATTGTATTTCCAGTTTGTCGTCGTCGGCTCGACTTGGYCCTCGTTATTGACGGTTCAAGTAGCATTGGGAAACTCAACTTTAGAAGAACATTGAACTTCCTTCGGCATCTTGTAACCTCATTCAGCATCTCATCACGTTCCACAAGGGTTGCTATATTGGAATATAACTCACGCCCATACAATTTCCTTAAGTTTGGAAAAAAGATTACATTTAAACACGTGATTAGTCGTCTAACACGACTTCCATACATTGGAGGCAAAACGAGAACTGGCAAAGCATTGTGGGCWGTTAATAATCACTACTTCAAAGGAACTTCTACCACAACACGGGTTTGTTTAGTCATAACTGATGGAAGATCACGTGACAATGTGTATAAACCCGCAAGAAAGCTTAGGGAAAGAGGTGTTCACGTACTTGCGTACGGAACAGGAAAAAATTACCAATTACGTCAACTTCGACAGATAGCATCCGGGAAAAGAGATGTATTCACAAGCCATTTCAGGTCCATGCTGAATATCGTTCGTGCTGTAAAACGCAGAATTTGCTATGGTACGTTTTCATAAACTACATCTTCTATGAGTTTTCACTGATTTTTGCACGAGTCAGTAATAAATTTATTACTTATATCTTATAAAGGAAAACCTAGTGGACGAAGACCAGGTAAACCAAGGGTACCTTCCAAATCAATCCCAGGAAAACAGACAAGACCAGGCGTAAAACCAAGGCGTCATTTTTATTTCAAGAGTTTGGGATGTTTCAAGGAGAAGCGAGCAGGGCGTGTCTTTACACATCTCCTCAAAGTGGTTCGCGGTAAAAATGCTATTAAGTTGTGTGCGAATCTGGCGTTGAAGAAACGTTTGTCAGTGTTTGCTGTGTATAATARGATATACTGTCGCTCTGGGCGCACTTCACGCATTAAATACCAAAGGTATGGCAAATCACACAGTTGTCGAAAAGGACGTGGAGGACGTTTGGCCAACAACGTCTACATCATACGCAAAGGTGAGTCTTTGTCTATTGAGCCCGGTAATTAAGGRAAGTGAAKTTKCTCTTATTCAAGACTAACGTTCATCAAATTTGAAATTTACTTATTTTCCAATAAAGTTTTGTATTGTTGGATTTAGATATCTGTGCTAGAGGACTGAATTCGCTATAAACTTGAAATGTTTTATTACTAGCCACACTAGAGAGAGGCCAAAGAAATGAGAGGAACAGGCATAATTTAGTACAATCTAGTATTATTTTTTACTATAAAGGTTTTCATGGTTTTAGTGACTGTTTGAACTTTAATTTGCATCTGTATGTAGTGTTATCAGCTATGTTAGAAGTTCTACAGTAATAAAAAGGGCCAAGACTTTCATCATTTTATCACAACAACAAAGCACAAAAAGCATCTCGGGGGTACTTTTTCGCTGTACTTTATGTTCGATGAAACTTCATGTCGATTTCAAATCAGTATATTATTTTACAAATTTACCATAGATTTAATTTTCGTAATTTCATATCAAATCAAGCTACAAATTAAAACAAAAGGACGCATTTTTTTTCTTTTGTTTTAGGACGAAAGCCAATTAAAAAACGCAGAGGAGGGCGAAGACAAAAAAGAAAACATGGTAGAAGGCGGCCAGGAAGAAGGCCAGGAAGACGGCCAGTGAGACGACCAGTGAGACGACCAGTGAGACGGCCAGTGAGACGGCCAGTGAGACGGCCAGTGAGACGGCCAGTGAGACGGCCAGGGAAACGACCAGGAA